AGGCATTCTCTCTCGATCATGGGATATCGAGATTCCGCGCCTACCATGGTTCGGCTTAAATAATACACTGCCTGCTCTTGACCGTTATCGTCATCTTGTGCATGTAATGCACTTAATGAGTGGCTCGTCGCCTTGACATAAATCAAGAACGGTTTGCCTGATTTCGGTGCGACGAGTACAGGAGGTTTTGAGAGATATTCTTTAATACTCTCAAATGCCTTCTGACAAGCGTCATCCCATACAAATGACACGCCCTTCTTCGTGAGTTTGGAGAATGGCTGGCATTTTCCTGAGAGGTTCGAGATGAACCGACGGATATAAGCTAACCGCCCTTGCAATCCTCTGAGCTCCTTGAGGGCCTTTACCTTATCGGGGTCGATGTGAATACCTTTGGTGGTGACGACAAATCCCAGGAATTTGCCACTGGACATTCCGAGGAAAGACTTGGTAAGATTCATCTTCAATTGATGGGCTCGCATCAAGTCGAACATGGTCTTCAAGTCCTTAATGTGATCTTTTTTATCGCGACTTTTCACGACCAAATCATCCACGTAGCATTCGACAGTTTTCCACAGATGCTCCTGAAAAATCTTCGACATGGCTCTCTGATATGTCGCACCTGCGTTCTTTAACCCGAAGGGCATAACTGTGTAGCAGAAGACGCTGAGAGGTGTTCTAAACGCGGTATGCTTTTCATCATCTGGATGCATCTTTATCTGATTATAACCAGAGAAACCATCCATGAAAGACATCCTTTCGAACCCGCACGTATTGTCAATGATGACATCCGTGATAGGAAGGGGAAAATCGTCTTTTGGGCATGCAGCGTTGAGGTCTCGAAAGTCGATGCAAATCCTGACCTTCCCGTTCTTCTTAAGAACTGGGACAATATTGGTGAGCCACTCTGGATGTTGCTCTTCCCTAACGAAGCTCGAGTCAATAAGCTTTTTAACTCCGGTCTCGATTGCTTCCATCATTTGTGGACGAAACCGTCTTTGTTGTTGTTTGACAGGTTTGACATCCG